CCAAGGATGCCATCAAATGCACAGCTGGCAGCTGGCATATAGGGTTTCTTTTGTGTTTCTCCTCCTAACAGAAAAATCCATAGATTGTAAGTTTTGAAAGAGCAGATATACTAATTTCTCCATTAAATGTCATGTGTTTTTATAAAAAAAGGCTTAAGAAATGCTACACACCATAGAGGAATTTTGATGAGCAGAAAATCAGTTCCCGAAGTGGAATTTGGCCAAGACTGAATACAGTGTCCTGTCACAGAGTTTCTAGATCTGCGCGTCCTTGGGAAAACAAAAGACAAGAGTCTGCAAGTCTAAGACAAGGTCATGGCCCTAGCTTTTTAGTTTGATGGGTATAGGCCCACGTGCCATAAATAGATGTATATCTACTGCAGAGGCTCCAGCCCATGATACTGAAATACTCGTCAGTTGATCAGTAAGCTTTTCAGATTAGAAGATGCAGAGGAACAAAAATATTAAGAAACCACTATACCTCCCACACATTCAGAGGATGAATCATTAAGAGGCCAATTCTGCAAAGTGCTCCACACTTCTCTGCAGTTCTGCACAGGAAAAATTAAGCAATGATGTAAAACAAGAAAAGGTACCCTTTGCAACTGTCCCACCACCAACTGCTAGGAGCTATTTGGTGAAGATCACCTTTTGCTTTCCTCAGCCCACACATGGAGGTTCAGATATCAGTAGAATAAGAAGTGATGTTTTAATTTAGCCCTGACTGTCTTTTTGATGATCCTTCCCAGCAATTGAAGAAGTGGACACATAACTGGGGAGATTACTGGCATCTGTTGTTGGCTTTTTGAGCACTAGCTGTACTACGATGCATCCTAAGATGACTGGTGTTTTTTCTGCTTTAGGAAAGGCAATCATGATCAGGTCAGACATGGGCCTAGTTGCTTTGTTCTAAACAAACTTGTGCTGTGTGAACCATTTAAATCATTTGTGTAACTGTATCACCATGTGATGTGGAAACTATACCCTTATGCTATGGTAAGCAGGTGGGACACAAACTTGCGTGTTTATTCCTTACTGCTATTTGAGTTCTTAGCAGCTTGGCTTGCAAGAACAAGACTCTGCAGGTGTAATCTGCAGACATTCATTCATACTGAGGTATCTTAGCACCACCTCTTAATCTTCAAGCTTATTTCATCTGAGTTCAAGGTTGAAGGGGTCAAGAATGATTTGTCTTCGGGAGCAGGACACCTGAAATTTTTCATAATCCAAGTAGCAGAGTTCTAGAGAATAGCAGTAAATAACATCACAAATACTTCAAAGAGGACACGCAATTAATATTTTTAAATACTTTTTATGGGCCTCACACCAAACAAACTACCACTTATTTTAAAGCCAGAGCTGCAAGTTACTGGAAATCAGTCGATGGTCGTTCACTGGTCTTAAAAGATATTGGTGAAATGGGCAGTAATTTCATGCTTCATAGCATTTCACTGCTTCATGTCCAAATTTTCTGGTTTCCTTTTTTCCTTTAATTTTAAAAGTGGTCAGTAATCTACAGTAATACATTAATGTGGTGTGGGTTGAGTTTTTTTGTTTATTTATTCGTTTAAAGTGTATGGCATATCATGTCCAATTAAAAAAGTTTGACTAAAGAATTATGAAAAAGGCTTTAATAATTTAAATAGTTGTTCAGTGAAAGTGTACAATCTGTTTTATGTTCTGTGGGAAACCTACAGTTGCTATAAACTTAATGAACTTTAAAACCTCCCATCCGTTATTTAACACAACCATTTGCTAAAGTAATAATGACTCTCATTCTGCTACAATTTGCCATACTGGAGACGCTTAGAGATGAGTCAGGAATACAAAACACTAACAGTGATCAAAGATGCTCTACAGTTCAGGAGGATGCAGGACTGGACTTTAGTCCCACTATCTCTGAAAATATTATCACTTCATCCCTATGTGAGGAAATGTCATTATTGTATTACACAGAATGGAAGACATAACATAAGAGTTTGGTTCATTAATATTTTTTCCATGTAATGGTTTATAAAAGAGATAAAGCTGAAGAAAATAAAAACAGACATGAAAATATTACAATGAAGTACATTATTCTTCTTTAAATAAATTTCCTTGAGCAGTATCTTCTTAAAAGGTGAAAATTAAACTCTAATATTTGTCTCACTGTATAAAAGTGACAGCATTAAATACAAAGAACTCAATGGTCTTATGCTTATTTCATCCTATTCTTATGTTTTCACAGCAAAAATATTAAAATTTGCAATATTACCAAAAAGATGCAAACCTGTCAAATATATTACTCTGAAGTAAATTAACAATTAATTTATAGGAACCTACCATAGGAACTATTAAGTGAACAGTAGTAATGGTTTTCTATATAAAATCTATCAAAAATTGTTGGAGAAAATATATGAAGCGTAGCTGATAGCTGATGAAATCTGCAATATGGCCACAGAGAAGTAAGTTGCAGATCCTCAAAGTTAGCTCTTGTGCAGAAACATCCACCATGAGTTCATCGATGTCATTTTTCACTGGAGAACAGGAGGAGGTTTCCATAATGCAACCATCATAGGAAACTGATTCAACGCTGTACTTTAAGCTTTATCCATAGTTGCAACAGTTTGAGAGTTTTTTGGTGCTCTGATCTCTCTTTCTCTCCAGAAGGCTACGTAAATATAAACATCTTCAGCACGACGACAGCACTCTCTAAAGCACTGGCAACTGGTCTCAGTAGAAGACTGTTCAAAAAAAGAAATAAATAAACAGATTTAGCTGGACTGGTAAAGAAAAATTGGTAAAGCAGTACTTTATACGTAAACCAGCAATCTAGGTTGTAATTAGAAAATGAGAGATTTGTGGCCTCCAGACACACATGCCCATAAACGTGGGGAGCTGAGAGGCCCCTTTGCAGATTTAAAGGTGCTCATCTCTGTATGTCTTTTTTAGCCTGAGTCAGCAGTCAAGCCCAGATCTTGCCTGAGTGAAGGCAAAGTGCACTTTCAACTATTCTGAATAGCAAAAAAATGTTAAGTGATTGATTCTACCCAACCTCAGGCACTTAACTAAAGCACCTAGACAAGGACCTAATTAGCCCAGCCTCTGTTCATCAACCGTGGATGGAAAGCTGTAGCCTCAAGGAGGTGCTTCAGTCTTGCCCAGGTCAAGGGTGACAGCATTTGTAGCTCAGACATCTCAACCAGGTTACTGAAATTTGGTGTGATGACCAACTGAAGGTCTCCCTGTATATGAGTGCTCCTAGCAAAGTCCATGGAGCTTTAACCATTCATATGATTAAAGATAATGAGTCTATGTGTGTTCTGCTTTACTAGGCCTGCATCCAGCACCGGGATCAACCAGAACTGTTATTGGATCTTCACCATAATTAGGGTTCTGCTTCCTATGGAAAATATTGGCAGCTTTATGATTCCCCCATTCCCACTGACTAGACACCAAAACAGGTCCCTTTTGAAAATTGTCATCTTTTATTTAGTTCAAATTCTGAATGGAAACTAGGCTTGTTCTCTATTTCTTCAGACATGAAGTTAAAAAGGACTTTTTTTTCTTTTTCAGTTACTTACTTAGTTGAAACTCCTAAATCAGAAATAAAGCCTATAAATTTTCCCTGTCCTATTCTGGCCAGTGGAGAACGAAGTCCCACAGATTCTCCCATAGCAAGAGGAAAGCTCCAGTAAGTTTCTTAGTGGGTAGCTCACTTTGGTCCTCAAGGTCCTCCCCAAAATGGAAAAGATGTTTTCTAGCTGCAAACTACTCATTCCTGAGAAAAGCTTTGTCTCTGCAGAAGCTGGTCTCCACACCACTGATGTACATGACCTCACGTGGGAGGTCTTAGTAACACTGCAGGATTAGCTGTGGTGTACAAAAGGATATTTGATTTTTATTCATTCCAAAAAAGGGTAATATGGAGTTTCCGTGCTTCTCACTTCTCACCAAGAAGATGACTTTATCCACTTTTT